CATTCAACAAGTGGGCAAATGTACTTTCTCACGAGTCAGCTCAATGGTTTATACACAATAGAAATATACAAAAGTAGATGACCGAGGATTGGGCTATTTATTCTGACGGTCATCAGTTTTAAATGCAAAAAAAGTTTGGTAGTGACTAAAAAAATAAGAGAAAAAACTCGAGCGTAAACAGTGAACACTCCCGAAGATTGAAGAGACGTATTTTGCCGTGCTAAGGAAAAACGCCGTATGAACATTCAAGAGTTGCCAAATTTCCTCCGTTAATACGCTTATTTTTGAGGAAAGTTACGAATATTTCTCCTTGAAATGTTCAGGAACTTCAGGAACTTTAGGTGAAATTGTGAACAAAATTATCTGAAAACTTGGAAGAGATCAAAGGAAATTTGGCAACGTCTAAAGGTTCATATGACGTTTTTCTTTAGGACGGCAGTATTGGTCCATCGTATCTTGACTTTTCTATCACCTAATTTGCAGCATAGAGCGGAAATGTGCGAGTTCATGCCTCACGCCATAGCGCCTTCAATTTTGCAGACGCAACACGGACATCCATCGAGCACGAATAGTTGTATCTCTGCGCCGTCATCAACGCGTGTCTTTTCCTTCCGTCTATTTCCATATTATGTTTGTTTCTGTTCGTCTTTTTTATAGGGATACTTCAAGGGCTACGTGAGCCGAAAACAGGAGAGACGTAATCAATCGGCCTTCGTTTTTTGACTTTTCTCCCGAATCTGAGCGACACCTCATTATCAGCATAAATCGGAACAATGCAAGTTAACGCCTCTTGCCATCGCGTCTCCAATTAGCAGATGCAACACGGACATCCACAAATCACGAATATTTATACTCCTGTCATCAACGGGCGTAAAAAGATGTCTTATTTTTAAAACATTAGATAAGTTGAGGTTAAGTTTGTTCAAAATATACTATGATGTGTCAAAATAAATGATCAATTAAAAAAGGAAAAGGAAAACATGTTTAAAGGTATCTCAAAGGTTGTAACGGACGCAAGTCTAAAAATGGGTGTTTTGGCGCGAGTTATTATGTGTCAGGGATTCTTTTTGGACGACTACCCTTATAAATTCCAGGCCGGATCAAATTGGCCAGACTATCTCTCCTGGGGGAGTTACAAATGGCTGATGCGGAAAGGGTGTGCGAAAGCGTCAGTATGTAATCAATAAGGTAAGCATCTCAAAAATAGTATTTCTTCCCTTAAAAAACACAGGAATAACATATCAATACTTCAAAAACTAACAAGATCAACATATTTAAAACGGGGCAATTTAACCCGACTGAGACTTTGTGCGGAAAAAAGGGTTTTAGGCATTTACGGGTTAAGTTGCTGAGCACACCTGTTGAAAGATGAACGTAAAAAACTATAAGAATAATTAGTTTGCAAATAAGATATTTTCAAAAATTTTACGCTGTGATACCTTCGGTAATTTATTTTATTTCATAAATGGATAGCTTAATTTGAATCAATTCATTTGTTTTTATAACAAGTTTTAGTTATTTTTAAATCCCTCAACTTAATAAATCGATACAGATAAAGTTTTTCGGTTAAATGTAACAAAAGCGACGTAAAATGCAGCTGAGCTGATTCTGCCTGATTTCAGCCGATTCTATAGTTCTAAAAATAACTCAAGAAGAAGGGAGTAAAAGAAAGTCATGTCTCTGAAAGCTATCATCGGAGGAACAGTGTAGACCGAGATGAGAAGAATCAAAGTTTTATTTGAATAATCTCATCACAAGGAAATATAACGAGTATCTCGCTGTGCAAGTCGATGAAGCAACTCAGAGCTATCAAACTTAATCACGCGGTTTGATTTCGACGTGTAATCGCGAGGGCAAGCCGGCTCATATCTCGATAAAATTCAGATGATCACGGAGAAAGTAGTTGAAAGCTCCGCCACCAGAGCACGCTAGCTATCGGGGAAGCGTCGCCTCCAAGTTCCGCCGACAGATGGCGTCACGATGAAAGTTATTTCGAGTTCAAGCGTTAGAACTCTTCTTCGCAAAGGTAATGTGGGTGGGATTTGATGAAAACTTTTAAGAGCAAGGCTTCGACTTTCTTCTTACTTCGCGACTAATGGAAAAAGACACTTGCTTTGAACTTGCACTGTTAGCAGTGCATGTGACTCTGACATTGATTGAAACTTTTAAAAGCTTTCGCGGGATGCAAACACATGATTTGCGAACTGCGATTTCCTCCGTCTCTTCGTCCCTGAAACATTTGCAACACCATCGGTAGGTTCATCGATGTTAATCTCATAAAAAGCAATCTGTACGCTATTTCCATTAAATCAGTTCATAAACTATAATACAGGTGAGGAGGATTAAATTTAAGGTTTTTTAAGTTGCCAAAAATAACCCTGAATAATTGTTTAGATAAAATTCACACAAGTTTGATGTTTAAAAAAGAGAAACAGTTAGAGAAAACTTGAGAAAAATCTGCAACTCAAATATTCATTCACGAAATCTGATGTTCTACTTTTCACAGCGAACAAGCGAACAAAATATAAAATTTCACCTAAATATTTCGATTAGATTTAAAAGGCGCCTACTGTCTCGGTGTATCGTAATATCCAAACAAACAACTCCAAGGAAGCTACATTGAGAAAATTTACGATTCCCCCTCTCCTCACTAAAACGCATATATTTAAACGACGAAACATGATAGTTGGACCGCGTTAAGCAGAAAGGAACCAAGCCACATCAGCTCTTGCCGTATTCAATCGAGCGATTTAATTTTTAAACATGAAAACGGTTGTGCGGATTTTTTGTGCGAATTCCAATAAATTTTCTGCATAGTGCAAAGGAAATTTTTTACAATTTTCAAAGGAATCCGCACAAACGGTCTATCGTAAGAAATGAAATTGCTCAATTAAATTTGGCATTAGCTGATGTGACTTGGTTCCTTTCTGATAAACGCGGTCCAGTTACTTAAGTGTGAATTAATGATACTTGGACAAAAATAATTTTGAATGATTTTACAATACTAAAAAAGAAAAATTACAGACAATTCACCCAATTTTCTCCTCTAGATACTAACCCCCGCATGAAACACCGCAATCAAGAGATGGCTTTCCTGCACCCAACGCCTTAATTCGAGTCTATTAAAAAAATTAGCAACGTCCGAGAGCTCATACGTTTTTCTTCCTCAGCACGGTGGCAAAGCACAACAAAAGGTTTTTCATGGTGTCCCGCGTCCACTCCACTCGCGAAGTTGCCAGAACGCATTTAAAAATCAGACTATCCCTTTCTGAACCCATTTAAAATATCCTCCTTTTACTTCACAACCTGGCATGGTTGACCGCTCGTGAAAACACAAGAATTAACGGCGGACGACCCTTATCTTTTTACGAGCCCTTTTACGAGCTCCGGTCGAAATGCCGCATAGCACGCGACACGAGGACAAGAGGACATTACTGCTCCTAAAGGTAAAACGCTGTATGAACATTCGAAAGTTGCCCGATTTCCCCTGATGAAATATGTATTTCTGAGGAAAATTATGAATACTTTCCTCTGAAATTTTAAGATGTTATAGAATAAATTGCAAACAGAATTTTCTGAAAAATTGTAAGATAAATAATTACAACTTTTCAAATAAATTCACGTTTAATTAAATAATTTTGGCAACGCCTGTAGGTTCATACGACGTTTTTCATATTACATGAGGACAAGACGAAATAGTGGAAAAGTCGAGACCCTAATTGTCTTACCTTTGATGAAGTCCAAGGCCGTTTCGAGGCCGTAGGTGTCCTCATCTTATTCTACACATTTGCCGATAATATTTAACATCCTAAAAACGCGAATAGTTGCATCAAGACTTAGCCATTGAAAAAGCCAGATTTCCTTTGATTTTTGGGCGCAACTTCCTTACGAGGTGCAGCGCCCTTTGCAGAGGTCTTGTTTCGTATGTACAATGACAATTGGCGCAAAACCGTGGCAATACATTCGCATTTAATCAAATCAAGTAGGCAATGTCTGAAGTTTCATACGACGTTTTTCATATTATGTGAGGACACGACGAAATGGAGGAAAAGTCGAGAGGTGCGATTCATCTTTGATGAAGCCCAAGGCCAATTCAAGGCCGTAGGTGTCCTTATCGCCGTGATGTGTGTATTTTAAAACGCCGTATGGATAGTTGAGAGTTGCCAAAAGCCCCCGGATGAAATATGTATTTCTGAGGAAAATTATGCATATTTTTCCTTGATATTTTCAGATATTTTGGATTAAATTGCGAAGAAAATTTTTTGAGGAATTCAAATATAAAAAATGACAAATTTTCCGATTAATTCACATTTAATCAAAGCAATTTCGGTAACGCCAGAAGGTCCATACGGCGTTTTTCTGTTACACGACGTAATGGAGGAAAAGTGGAGAGGTGCGTCTTACCTTTGATGAAGTCCAAGGCCAATTAAAGGCCGTAGGTGTCCTTATCGCCGTAATATGTGTAATTTAAAACGCCGTATGGATATCTGAGAGTTGCCAAAATCCCCCGGATGAAATATGTATTTCTGAGGAAAATTATGCATATTTTTCCTTGATATTTTCAGACATTTTTTATTAAATTGTGAAGAAAATTGTCTGAGGAATTAGAACATAAAAAATGACAAATTTTCCGATAAATTCACATTTGAATTGCATTCTGCAAAAAGGAACCAAGAGCATTGCAATTTCGCTAAGATTGTGCAACTTCTTTTGCCATGGACGAAAAACCTGATCATCTATAAAAAGTTGCTATTTTACACCCAAAAAAATGTTAATTGAAGACAATAATTACCATGTAAATTTTATATTTTTGCATAATTTTAGTACTTTTATTGCAAAAGATGAAGTTGCACAATCTTAGCAACACTTCAATGCTCTTGGTTCCTTTTTTTCAAAATGCAATCCATTTAATCAAAGCAATTTTGGCAACGCCTGAAGGCTCATACGGCGTTTTTCCGTCACACGACGAAATGGAGGAAAAATCGAGAGGTGATTCTTACCTTTGATGAAGTCCAAGGCCATTTCGAGGCCGTAGGTGTCCTTGTCGCAGTCGTCGAGGATGTGGGCTCCGAGGGTGACCTTGAACTTCTCGGTTTCGGCGTTGATCCTATCCAGGGTGTACAACATCGTCTCCAGGGCCTGGACCCCGCCCTGGGGCATAACGGGGCCACACGCCCGGGAGTCCTCCCTCTCGTGCACCATCATCAACCCGCCCAGGATCAGATCCCCAGGGATCTCCGCCGACCGCTTCACCGGCCACTGGAGCTCCTCCGCCGCGCTCGACCGCGACTTCTTCCGCGATTCGTCGCTCAGGGGCAAATCCATCGACGGAGTCCCGCTCGTTCTTTTCCTTTTCGACCCCAACACATCCGATAACGTTTTTGAAGAATCGTACTCATCCGATAACGTTTTTGAAGAGTCGTACTCATCCGATAACGCAACGGTGGAGATTTGTCCGATGTTGAACGTATGGATAGAGTCCGTTTCCTGATTTTTTGGACTAGCCACCGCACTCAACTGCGATTCGTCGCTCAGAGACAAATCCATCGGATTCCCGTGTGTTCTCTTCCTTTTCGACCCCAACACATCCGATAACGTTTTTGAAGAGTCGTACTCATCCGATGACGCAACGGTGGAGATTTGTCCGATGTTGAACGAAGGGATAGAGTCTGTTTCTCGATTTTTCAGACTATTCACCGCACTCGACTGTGATTCATCACTCAGCAACAAATCCATCGAAATTCCGTTTTTCCTTTTACTTCCCGACTCGAACGCATCCGATAACGTTTTTGAAGAGTCGTACTCATCCGATAACATTTTTAAAGAGCCGTACTCATCCGATAACGTTTTTGAAGAGTCGTACTCATCCGATAACGCAACGGTGGAGATTTGTCCAATGTTGAACGTATGGATAGAGTCTGTTTCCTGATTTTTTGGACTAGCCACCGCACTCAACTGCGATTCGTCACTCAGCTGCAAATCCATCGAAATCCCGTTTTTTCTTTTACTTTCCGACCCGAACACACCCGATAACGCTTTTTTCGAGATATGTCCGGCGTTGAACGAAGAGACAGAGTCTGTTTCTCGATTTTTCAGAATATTCACCGTGCTCAACTGCGATTTGTCACTCAGAGACAAATCCATTGGATGCCCGTTTGTTCCATCCTTTTTTGACCCGAACACATCCGATGACGTTTTTGAAGAGATATGTCCGACGTTGAGCGTAGATATGGAGTCTGTCTCTCGATTTTTCAGACTATTCACCGCACTCGATTGCGATTCGTCGCTCAGGGAACCCATCGGCAGATTCCGATTCGTATTTTCTTTCGACCCGGACACAATGTCGTACTTATCCGATAACGCTTTCGTAGAGACGTGTCCGGCGTTGAACGTAGAGATAGAGTCTGTCTCTCGAATTTCCAGACTATTCACCTCACTCGAAGGCGATTCGTTGGTTCGTTTCCTTTTCGATCCGAGCACACTGTCGTGTCCGTCCGATAACCGTTTTGTAGAGATATGTCCGATAGAGTTAGTACCGGAGTCTGTTACTTGATTTTCCAGACTTTGATATTTCGGCGTGACTGCGTCCTGCTCAAATTCGAGTTGGGAATCGACGAGTGTAGGGAGCGTCGTTCTGAGATTTTGGCGTTCCGCAGGGTGAAATTCAGCTTCGTTATATTTCGGTTCCTGGCCCGTGTCTTGAAGCGGGGTAGTTTCAACAGAAGACGCTACAGTCGAGAGTGATTCGTTACTGAATTTGTTCGCTAGAGGGCGCCCCGAAGGGTTGAGCGTTGAACTTGACGCGGCTTGGTCAACGGTATAACTTGAGCAACAAGTTTCTGTGGCGCTCCCTGGTAAGTCCCCCGCTTCTGTCATTTTTCTTCTGAATGGCTTTCGTTTGTTCGAGTTGATATTTCTTTTATGGGCGTCTCGTAACTCGGTCGGGGAGAGTTGCTCGGCTGAACTTTCGGAAGTGGATCTTGGAGCCATGCTCGTGGAAAATAGGTCGTTGGTCGTGAATAAATCGTCGGGTGAGGTCACGTTGAAGCAGCCGCAATCAGGTAGACGAGGGATGTTTAAAACTAGAAGAACCCCGAAGAAGGCAAACGACATCCTTTGCCGGCATTAAAACAGCATCGGTTGGGTCGCCAGTGGAGAAGCAGGTCTCTATCTCGATCTGGAATCAAATAAAATAGAATCCAGTCAGTTTAAATTTAAGTGTACAATAAGATGATATTAAAGCATTGGTAAGCGAGGCCAGAACATTAAAGACAGTAAAAGGCAGAAGGTTTCCCTCATTTTCCGCTGAAAAAACACGAAAAAATAAATATAAAATTAAGTGGCGACCTCACTTTAGCCCTTGTCGCGTAACCACTCGATGTCAATACCAAATATTCGGTTTTAAGACATTCCGTCGACGATATTTGGTCCGCGCACCTGTTTTGTCCAGTAGTTTACGTCCACGCGTAAAATAAGGAAAAGTGACTTGGTTCAAGCGTTATATTTTAGTCAGTATGTATGTAAAATTATACTGACAATATCGAAATGAGAACATTGGGAGAGAAGGATGAGTTCTTATGTTAACGTATTGTTTAAATGAAATATTACTATCTTCTTTTGATTCATCTTATCAAATTGTCATTAGTAAATATATGGTTTTATTTCCTAAAATTTTCCGAAATAAAACATACCCTATATATACATTTTCTCTTCTTTTCTAATGAAAATATTACTTCATTTTAGAAACATTTACATTTTTAAAACGTGGCAAATAATTTTAAAACCTTTTCCAATAGATGGCATCATCGATCTTAATCTAAATAAGCCGTATTTGTAATGAAATAAACTGTACAGAATGAATAAAAGAGGGAAAAAATCTACAATTTTTTGGTTTTAACTCTTTAGTACATAGATCTATTAGAGTCAAATGCGTCCAATTTGGAGCGTTTGGATGCGCGCACACCACGCTGCAGGACGAAATCACAAAATATAAAATAAAAAATTAAAAGTACTTTGGCAATCATTAAATTTAACATGGAGCCACCTTAACATTTACAATACACACATTATGTATTCCTTAAATATATTTTTTTGTCATCAATTTAAATGAGAGCAATCCATGCAGGGTGTGCAAACATTTCAAAATCATGAGTTGAAAAACGCTGACTCCGCAAGTTTAAACATTCGAACCTAACCCAGAGCAGCTAGCCGCCAGCGCAAACCGCCCACTGGCGCCTACAAACCCAAATGGATACTTCACGCATTGCGCAATGCCTGAAGTATCCCTCTAGGTTTGCAGGCGCCAATGCGTGTTGCGTGCTAGCCGGCCGCTCGCCGCGCCGCAGCGTGCCACGACGCCTTAAGCATTTTCACAACAGTGCTGTTGCACAATATCATACGAAATTGAAGGCGCTTTAACACATCAAGAATGACAGGCATCCTTTAAGGGCACGGTGTTTTCCCCGCAAAATAAATCAAGATACCACGGCACAAAAAGATAGCGACAGTCCAAAAACCTCACCAAGTCCTCGCATCCAAGTTTAATAACGTTTAGCATAATTTTTAAATTTCATTGAAGTGAAAAGCGACTCGATTTAGGCAGATGCATTCTTGCGCATGTAGTCAAGATTTTATTTTGAATCAAGAATAAAATAGCTGAATGAAAGCGGGTTTCTGCTTGATGTAACTGACTTTTCTTTTTATATGAGCATCTTCTCTTCTTTAGACAAGCATAATTTTCTCTATTGGTTCATAAGGAAATCTCGGTGGTAAATTTGAGCAAATTTCTGCTTGAATCAAGGTACTTATTCTTCTAATGAAGTTCAAAAATCACGCTACACATTATTGAATACAGATATTAGGACTGAGATCTTGGATCCAACATTTTCCAGACATTTTCTACACATTTGCCTATATTTAACATCCTCAGAACACGAATAGTTGTATTCAGGCCTAGCCATTGGAATAACCGGATTGACTATAATTTTTGGGCGCAACTTCCTTATGGAGTGCAACGCCCTTTGCAAAGGCTTTGTTTCGTGTACAAAATGTTGTGTACACCCTCCAAGAGAATTGTCGCAAAATTGTTGCATTAACTCGTAATATCAGTCATTCCATTGATCTTGTTCTTCGAACTGTATGAATACGTCACGGAAATCCGGATATTGCAACTCGGCACTTCGGCAGTTTTGAAAACGCCTTCAACTGTGACGTGATACCTCACGCGTTCCGGAGAGTACGAATAATTGTATCGTTGCGCCTTACCAATGTGACATTCAACTTTACCATAGGAGGTTTTCACAACATACATATATCGTATTCAAATAGACATTATTGATAAAAACGTAAATGAAGTCAATGCAGATGGGTATTCAACACATTACAGTGATGTTGAACCGATCTATATGTCAATACCGATAGTTTAGGGTTTAAAATAAACTAACCTTAAGCATTTGAATATTGTGCTCTCCCTTTCGTATTTGAAGTTACTATCATAACTTATGTTTTCATTTTTTTGTTCACCCTAATAATTTGAATAAATAAATCTCATGAATTCAACAAGTCTTCCAGGATTCTCTCTAACATTCCAATTTTATAACATTACCAAACCTCATTAAAAACCACAAACTATCTCTCATATCAATAATAGTTGAACTTCAACAAAATGACGTCCAATCGCGATCGTCACTGTTTGAAAAGCATCAAGTTTTTCAGATTTAAAAATTCCGTAAATTATCAGTTAGTTTGAGCATAAAATTCCGACTCTTTTCTGGCTTGTAAGTGTTTTTTTGGTATCTTAATATCTAATTTGAAAAATAGAATGAAATTGTGAATCAACCACTGTACTAATTGCGAGGGGCGTTGGTTCATTTGAAAGGTGCTGTTCTCAATGCTTCGGGAAAACTATAAATTATTTTCTGGGGTTCGTCCCCGATTTTTAAATCCCTAAAAACTCATAAATTGGATGAGGGGAAGTGGGGGTTTTTTGTTTTTTGTTTTTCGGAAAAAGTTTGTTGCTACGCATCTTACTTTACTGTTTGCTGTCTTTTTATCAGCTGTTTTCATTCAACAATCATCATTAAGTGAGGTTACTTCCAACACTCAACTGCCATCAACTTACATTTTTCTTTTCCCGCGTTTTTTTTTTTTTTTTTTTTACGGTTTTTCATGATTGGTTCCATCTTTTTCCTATTGCCAATTTTTCCTCATTAAGTCAATAACCTCCAAGTTTTTTTTCTCATTTCCGATCAGAACTTTTCACGCTGTTTCTTTTCAATGTGTATAAATATGTGTATTATTAATTTCCATTTTCATTTCATCCTTTTTCTTCTGATTTATTTTTTTTAATTTAAAAATTGAACTTTTCAGTTATGATTTTGTTAAAATAATAATAATTTTTACTAATTTTAATTTTAAATTTAACAGTTGTTATGAGTGAAGTTTTCAATGACCGAGGCGGTCGTCCTCCAAAACGTGGTCGCGTTTTCCAGAATTCTTCGCATGTTTGTTCAGTGAAGCAAGGCGAACTTAACTCTGTTATTAGTATAGAAAATCAAAGTTTCATTTCTTCATTTCGGAAGTATAAAATTGATGATCAGAACTTTGATGAAAATTTTGTTACCAAATTTTCAGTCGGTTCAATGAATATAATTTGTCATCATTGTGATGCTCGCCATTTTCAGGGTGAAATGTTCAATGGTCATTTTAATAACTGCTGCCAAAATGGCTTAATTTCTTTACCGAGTATTCGGACAAATACCGATTTGAAATCATTATTTTTATATTCTCCGAATTTCCCGAATAATTAGACCCGATTCAAAGACAAAACAGAAAATTAAATGAAAATAAATAAAAAAAAAAAAAAAAAAANAAAAAAAAAAAAAAAAAAAAAAAAAAAAACATGTGAAAGTGAAAAGTGTACAGGAAAAATAAGGGGCTGCGAAGCAGCCCCATAAGCCCCTAGTGGCTTTTAATAAACATTCTAATGAACAATTCTGAGCGCGAAGTATCTAGAATGTGAAAAAATGCAAGGTTTCGGCTGGAGGGGAAAATGTTCGCAGTGAGATTCCCTAACATTTCCCGACTTTTTGTTGGATGATATTACCTTTCTCCCGATCACTTGTTATCAGATTTTAGGCGATAGGTATTTCGATGTTACGTACATATCATCATCAGGCCACTTGGGTTTGGTAAACACTAAAAGACGGGTGCACCCACGAGTGTTTTAATAGTGTTTTTTAATACATTTTAGTAAATTTTAGTATATTTCAATAATATACAATGTGACTTTTAGTGTTTACCAAACCCAAGTGGCCTGATGATGATGTGTACGTAACATCGAAATAGCTACCGCGTAAAATCTGATAACAAGTGATCGGGAGAAAGGTAATATCATAAAAAAAAATGCAGCCCGATAAAAAGAAGTTCAACTTTAAATTTCCCGAATTATTAAGGCTGGGCAAAACTATTTGCGTTTAATGGTTCCATGAGCGAGCAAGATCCTTGCAAAGATTCTGAAACACCTAGACAAAATGCTCATTTTCCAGCACTTGCCCAATCGATAAACGTTCAAGCATTATCAGACTAGAGAATAAGTGTGAGAACTTAGCCGAGCGGTGGCTCGTTAGCTCTCGCTCTTCGAAGTTCCTTCGAATGATGAGATAGGCAAGATTTATAGTTTTCGAGTTGAAATATTACCACTGAAAGTTAATGCGTTCTTACCGGGCCGTACGCCGCGCCGTACCAAGAGGAAACCTCCTTTCGTTTGTCCTGGTTTTCTCGACTATCTTGAAAACCGACGCAGGTATTGACATGCAAATTGAACGAATTTAAATTAAAGCAAATACATCCTTTCCTCCACACTTGGAGAGAGAGAGGAGAGACACTTAACTGTAAAGAAACTCCCCATAGATTGCATTCTATTTCTGATTTACAACAAGAATTCACATGTTTTGATGCAAGTTCAATTTTATCACCTTTCACAGTTTTAAGTGGATTGTTAAAGTGTACACAGCAGGCATGGAAGGTACCTGTTTGCAATATCCCGTTTGATGAGAGCAAAAACTTTCTCTTAGAAAACTTACACCCTACAGAATTTTAGCCGAAAAAATTCTTTACATCATTCGATGAATTTACTGGAAAATTTAACTTCATTTCAGGGTGATATTCTTATCTCCT